TTTGGTTTTACATGTAATCGTATGGGGAAAAATGATTCCCCTTACGACATTTTCATGATATGTTCTCAGCGTCGGAACGGATTAATTTCGTATCCTGACGTACCACTGTATAGTTTTTTGGGTATAATCTGTATAAACTATGCTATAAACAAAAAATTGTAGGATTACTTACCGAGTGTGCACCGTTCGATCACGCCATTGCTTAAGCTTCTTTTCGAAGCAGCGCACCAAACGGCGGCCGCGGTTTCTGATAAGTTATTTTTATGCGAAAAATTTGTTGAACTTTGGAGACATCATTAATATAAATAATTTTTATGGCCGTTGAATAAGAAATGTTTTTTCACAAGAAATGTAAAAAATTACAGTACTGTATTAGACTTACAGTACCTAATTTAGGCCTATATACTGTACAAACGATAGTAAACTCAATTTACCTGCCTAAACTCTCTGTAGAGCAGTGTTTCCCAAACTTTTTTAGGCCATGCCCCACTTTAACATTTCTAAAATCATCATGTCCCCCCATAGATAATTTTAGTTATAAAATTTATTTTTGTTTTTTTTAGTAATATGAATGATAATTTTAAAGCGATTTCTTACAACTGTTGTCAAAACAAAGAAACAAACTTTTAATAAATAAAAAAATAATAGATTTTAAAAACTTACTTTAATGTGATTTGTGGACTTGATGCTTTTTACACAGCGATTTTATATCTGGTTCAAGCTTAGTTAGCTTAACTCTCAAATCTCCACGTTGTGTTATATCCAGACGATTTCTTTTTTTAATCAACAAATCACTCACAGCACTAAAGCCACATTCAGCTAGATATGAAGATGGAAACGGTAATAAGAGTTTTCTTGCACATTTTGTGGTATTGGGGTATTTAGCCTCTGTTTCATCGCAAAGCNTCCAAAAATGAAAAATCTTCGGGGAGAATCAAAAATCTGGTTACACGATCGATTATACAGTAACTACCCTATTTTCAGGAACGTTTAAGCAGAATTATCTACAAAATAATTTTAAAAATATCATTATACTTTATGCTTTATAATGCCTAATTTAATTTAGCGAAGACAAATTAATTGTTCAAACGAAGAATTCATCATCAGTTATAGAAATTTCAAGATGAAAATGAAATAATTTCAGTAATTTCATTTATTTTTCCATTAAAAATTGAGTTAATAACATTTATAATTTTTAAAAAATTAATTATAAACTATTATTTAAACGCAATTATACCATTTAGTCGAGTCATGTTTTTTGAATAGTTGCAACTAATTATTCCGGGTAATGGAGAATCTATATAAAATAACAACACACAGAGATTAATCATTAATTTTGTAGTAATTTAATCGCTCGCACCTTCGGATTTCTCCAAATTTATATTCGTATCTACGTAAGTAATGCTTCATTTTTACTTTAAGTTCTTAGTTATTCAGTTAAGAATACACGAGAGTATTTCATTAATAAAATATTAAAATAAATACATAGATATTAAGGCAGTCCAGAGTTCTTGTATGAGTTTTTGGGTAAAGAGGGCATCGTTTTCCATATTTTCAAACAAATGAAATGAGTAAAATCTTTCTTAATCAATTAAAATTAGTCTTACAGCAGTAAAAGTAACATTCGTTTTACAGGAATGGGAACCATTACTGCATTACGGTCCTTAAGTTTTCTCCGGGTTTGGGCATATATCAAGAAATTTCTACTTCTTGCACTGATATTATGCACAGTCGAATTTATTCCTGGTAAGTATTATCTTATATAATTATTCCTTAAATTTTTATAATTACACTAATCAAAAATAAATGTAAACAGGAAATGCTGGAAAATTAACTACGGAAGCAATTGTTTTTTGTAGAGCATTCAATTACAGTAATTTACTATGTAGCAAATTTTGCGAAACTGCAGGTTATACACTTGGAGAATGTACATTACAGAAGCATGGAGAGGACAGAAACGTATGTTTGTGTTATAGATTTGAACCAGAATTAAAGACTGATGCTTAATTCTATTCTGTATATTTGTTTGTTTTTATTTGTATTCAGTAACGTAACAATCAGGCGATCCGCCGAGAGGATGTCTCCCGGGAAGTTTTTCTAAAGGAAGTTAATCCCTATGAATGTATGCCTCTTTAATTCGAAATTAAGTTCGGTAGACTATCATTACAGCTTTCAAGAGGGCCCTAATGGAAAAAAGTGATTGTAATGTAGTATTGCAGTGAAGAGAAGTTTAGCATTTATATAAGTTCGAAATGCATATATGAAAACAATAAAAGAAATATCTAACCTAAAAGCTGTAATGATAGTCTACCGAATTTAATTTCGGATTAAAGAGACATATATTCATAGTACGTAATAACAACTACCATAAGTGATATTTAGAAGTTAATCCCTATTTAGGTATTATAAAAATACAAAATATTCAGGAACTAGTTGCTTAACTTTTCCGGCAGCATTTGGTAGCGCTGACTTTTATCATATTTTATTAAAAAACTTTTTATATTTTTAACTATTCTGAAATGACAAATAAAAAAAACTTAACTTTGAGTGTAGGGATAACTTTGATAAAAATTATAAATGTTTATAAGGAGTAAAATTGTCATTAAGATCGACCCTGCTTGAGATATGACACACGACACTCTATCTCTCCACCCTCTAGAATATTTGTAACCTAATTTTAACAGAATCAATCCTCCTAATACACAAACCTCCCTGCAAAATTTCAGAAAATTTTGACAAAAAGTACAAGAGTTATTAAGTTTCAAAGAGGGTGAACGAAATCGTTCTTTCCACACACGCACTAACAAACACCGGTAAAGTAATAATTCGTATTGTTAATACCGCTAATTTATTTTAAATTTTAAACGTGTCTTGTATTATTTTTTAATTGTTTTCTTTTTCTTGTTAAAACTATAATGTACGACTAAATTTACGTTATGAAAACTGTTTTACTCGGTTAATTAATTTTACTGTAACCATCCGAATAAGAACATATGAATACATTGAATAAAGGTAGAGTTGAAAGTCAGGTTAAGTCTCAAAATTATTTAAATTATTGTGAGACAGAAATTCATACGATATCATCGCATAATTATAGGTAGGCGAACAAGGATTTGTATGTGTGATTTCTTTTTCTTCTTGCCAAGAACGACGTTCTGCAGGATCGAAGTTTCTGTTACGTAATTTAAACAATGTAATTTATTAGTTTTATTTTTACTTAATTATAGTTTTCACAATACGCTTTATTACGATAAAGGGTATTGTGAAAACTATAGGCCTGAATAATTCATTTAATAATTTATAATACCGATAATCGCAAAGAAGTCTGATTGATTTGATAAGGTAGCAAATGTCACCATAAGTTTATAGTCACGTAATGTTCGCCATCAGAGAAAGATTTTTTATTTTCCTTTTATTCGTATGTTTCTTCTGAGATGATCTGTTTGAAAATATTGCAAATTTCAACTGAGGTTAAGTATAAATTTATTTCAAATTTTAAGTTTTAATCATTATATGTATAAACTACATATATTTAGCTTAACATTTCTGCATTTTCCCGGCGGGTTTTCAATGACACCGTCTTTAATCTATAAAAATTCAATTAATTTCAAAATCAAAGTTATTAAATTAAATTATTTGATGCAAAAGTGGCACTATTAGTTTCGAGATCACTTCCGTATTGTGGGCCTAGAAGCAGCATATTTCTAAACGTGTCACCAAAACAAATCACTTCGCCAATTCCTGTGGCACCTGCCTAATTAGGGCACTGAACTCAAATAACAAACAAATTCATAGGGTTTATGAGATTATTTTATTCAAGAAGTCGGTACCTCTGCATTATCACGATTAAACTGACAAATTTTTCAATACAAACCTACGCTACACCATCTCATACACCATTATTTCGCCGTGTTTATTAAGCTTGGTTTCTTTATTGTGAGTGTTAATGAGGTTGGAAGCGTGACAAAACATAGAGTATGATGACCCGGTCAATTCTCCCCATGATAAACGGGTGATCTGAATAAAATTGAAACTCACTTTCTTACAATTGTGAATATTAACATTTACCCTCGGATATATGGCGACAATTTTAAAAATTATATGGCAATCTTGAATATATAAATATTTACTTTTAAACAAAGTTCGTATTCGTGCTCTTACAGATACAATAAATTTACAACTGGCATTATTTTCCACGTGGAAACAGAAAAGAGATCAGCGGTTACAGGTGTTATTTTGGGTCACATTTTTAATTATTTCAGTATTTATATAAACAGAGTCGATTCTAACACCACTTCACTCCTCTTCTTCCATTGAAAATACAAGATCGAAATCAATTTATTAATTCTTTCTGCAAATGTAAGTATCGTATACTTTGCGATTTGTTAGGCCAGGAACACACATGCGTAAAATTAGGCGTAAAATCTAGCTGAAAACAGAAAACGTAAAAATTTTTCTGAAATTTTGGCTGAAACAGAACTGAAAATAGAGTAGAGCATGTCTCTACTTTTTACGCTGAAAAATTTTTACGCCAAAATTCTTCCAATAAAGAGACGTCTTTTCTATGACGTCAAAGTAAGCACGTGGTTTTCATTGTAACAATGGCGGCAAACCCAACTGTTGTATCGTGCTCAAGAAAACGTAAAATTAATGAAATAGAGGATTTCATTGAATCCGTTAGACCTCATCAATGCCTCTATGACAAAAAAACTGTCACTTATAAAGACACTGCGTACAAACATTGTATATGGACGGCCATAGGTGCTAAATTTCAAATAACAGGTAGGTCTAGTAGAATCGATATATAGTATTTAGATCACACGTTCTTTATTTCACTTCGGAATACAAGTCTATTAATTTAAATTTACTAAATTATAGCAGAGGCAGCAGAGAAAAAGTGGAAAGTGCAGAGAGACCGTTATATGAGAGAGAAAAAATCAATAAGATGTAGCACTGTAAGTGGCAGTGGTAGTGGAGACATATATAAACCAAAATGGGAATTATATCCTTTAATGGATAGTATATTGGGAGGATATATTGGCTGCACAGAAACGTGAGTATTAATACATTTACTTCACAGAATCTACTTGTAAGATACTTTACCATCATTAACTAAAATAAATGTTTATCAAAGGATATTGGTTTTATATCATTTGGTTGGTTATTTGATTATATTAAAGTAGTGATTATAGTAAAATGTAATCAAATTCGTGTTTAAACAAAAATAAAGTTAATACCAACTGATTGTAATACTAATAATTTATTTAAGCTCTTTTGATATCATTTCTATGATTTGAAAGTTCTCTCATATAGTTCAAACAATTATAAATGACTTATATTTCTTGTCAAATAAATAAATTCATATCATTGAATATCATTTACCATTTACAACTGAATGTTTTTATTAGGGTAGATATACCTATGCCTAATCTGTAGACCTATCTATAGACCTACTATAATAAGTTGTTATTATCTGTATCTAATTAATATTATCTATATTTAATTGTTGTATATGTATATATATCATTGCTATTATTACCTATAAGTACTAATTATTAGTTTGAAAAATATTTTGTCTTAATTTCATCATAAATTATTTACATGTGGTAATATTTTTATTTCTTTTAGTACCATAAATAATGAAACAAGTATCATCGAAAATGATAATTATGTTGACACCGAGTCAACACAATTATCACCAGTAAATTTTTCCCAGCTAAACCAGAATGATGTAGAAATTGTCCCAAATATTGATATTAATCAAGAAATTGAGTCAGATCAGTAAGTTGTAAATAAATAAATAATTATTATTTTGATGAAAAAGAATAAGATTTTTAATGTATGGATTTTGTTTCAGACTTTATCAAGCAGTGACTCGAGTACTTTTGGTCGAGGAAAAAAAAAAAGAAAAAAGAATCCAGATACAGATAATCAGGATTACTACAATAAAGCTTTATTATCTTTGTCATCAATGTCAAGTGCAATAAATAGTTTTTTGGATAGGAGTTGCAAGTTCAAATTTATGAATGTAGGCAAAATATAGTACAAAACAATGACAGATTTAAAAGTTATTCTTTTTAATTTTTTGGTTCTGTGTCACAGCCTGACAATATTGATCTGTTTTGTGAATCATTAAAATTAAGATTAAAAAATTGGATGCACGGGATCAATTTAATGCAAAAAAAAAAACATTGNACATCTATATTTAATTATTGTATATGTATATATATTGTTGCTATTATTACCTATAAGTACTAATTATTAGTTTGAAAAATATTTTGTCTTAATTTTATTATAAATTATTTATATGTGGTAATTTTTTTACTTTTTTTAGTACCATAAATAATGAAACAAATATAATCGAAAATGATAATTATGTTGACACGGAGTCAACACAATTATCACCAGAAAATTTTTCCCAACTAACCCAGAATGTAGAAATTGTCCCAAATATTGATATTAATCAAGAAATTGAGTCAGATCAGTAAGTTGTAAATAAATAAATAATAATTATTTTGATGAAAAAGAATAAGATTTTTAATGCATGGATTTTGTTTCAGACTTTGTCAAAGCAGTGACTCGAGTACTTTTGGTCGAGAAAAAAAAAGAAAAAAGAAACCAGATACAGATCAGGATTACTATAATAAAGCTTTATTATCTTTGTCATCAACTTCAAGTGCAATAAATAGTTTTTTGGATAGGAGTTGTAAGTTCAAATTTATGAATGTAGGCAAAACAAATATAGTACAAAACAATGACAGATTTAAAAGTTATTTTTTTTTAAATTTTAGGTTCTGTGTCACAGCCTGACAATATTGATCTCTTCTGTGAATCTCTGAAATTACGATTAAAAAAATTGGATGCACGGGACCAATTTAATGCCAAAAAAAACATTGAATTATTAATGTTAGACCTTGAAGGTCAGGAAAAATATTTTGCATAATTAGCCTGTAAATAATAAAATAATTTTTCAAAGTTTATAAAATTGTCTTTATTATTACTAATGAAAAATTTAAGTAGTTTATACTGTATAATTACAAATACTGTATTAACTTATACAAAATGAATTGTTTAAAAAAATTTTTTATAATACACCTGGATATATCTTGCTATTCTGCCATGGTACAGATCCTTCATTACACAAGTAAATAACTAGTTCATCACGCAAAGATTTTGCATGTATGCTATGCATATTAGATCCAAAAGAACAATGTGAAGAATTAATATTTTCATCTTGGTGCCATAAACCTGATTAAAATTATCATCATCATAATCAGAGAAGCCTGGGGGATTGTAAATACTTGCATTTTCTGTCAATAAAAAATTGTGTAAAACAAGGGCAGCGGCAACTATTTTTTCTACTGTTTTCTCACTATAATTGAGTGGTCTTAAAAATTCTAAAGCCCACCAACAGAATTCCAAAAGCATTTTCTACTATTCTTCGAGCTCTACTAAGGCGATAGTTAAACACTTTTTGGAAATAAGTGAAAGCTGATCTCCTTGAATAAGGTCTCATTAAATTTTTTTTAAGAGGAAAAGCTTCATCTGAACAAAGAAACATGGGAATACTTTATTAGAATTTAATAATTTATTTTCATTTAGAAGATTTAATTTTTCTTCTAAAAGCGTTTTTGCAAAACAACTTCTTTAAAAAATCCCACAATCACTTTCACCACCCATGAAACAAGACTCGACTGAAATAAATTTGTATTCATAATCAGTCACAGCTAATAAAATTTTGCTAAATGATCCTTTATAATTATAATTTAAGCTTCCACTGTTTTTTAGCATTGAACTAGTATATGCTTGCCATCAATGCTCCCACAACAATGTGGTAGCTGCCAACGAGATTCAAAATCTTTAGCAATTGCTTTCCATTTGTTTTCATTATCTGGCATTTTCATATAATCATTCTTTAAATTGTTCCAAATAACCTATAATAAAAATAATAGCAATTTATAAGTTAATTGCTATTCAAATTTAATAACAATTTTAATTTATACCTTCGTAGTTTCTTCGATTATTTTAGCAATTGTCGATCGTCCTATTCTAAATGAGAAACTGAGGCTCCGAAATGTCTCACCCGTAGCAAGAAATCTAAAAAATTATGTTTTATGATAAAAGTATACTAAAGACCTAACTATTTTACAAAGTATGAAAGATTAACAAACCGTAATGTTACAGATAATCTGTCTCTAGCAGATATCGCTTCTCTCCATCGTGTATTTTTCTTAGTTATATTTCTCTCTATTTTTGACAGCAAATATTCGAATAATTCTGGTGACATTCTCAGAAATCTGAAGATTTTAAAATTTATTATTTTGAAATATCCTCAAAAAACGATATGTAAAAAAATACAATTTAGTATTCTCGATCGTTAAATTGTAGTTCCGGAATCAACGAATTATTAAATCCATGTAAATCACGCTCTCGAAATAGCTTTCTAACCCACCAGCGTCTCTTTTGGCGTTTTTTAATAAAATCATTTCTTAAAATCATCAACGATTGAGTAGAATACAACCACCAACAAATAACAACGTCAGATACCGACGGCGCCATTTTACTAAACTATATATGACGTTGTTACATTTCCGTTTCCCATTCGGCCAGAATTTTTACGTATGTGTGTTCTGGCATGAAAGCGTAAAACAGAAACTGAACTGAAAGCTGATTTCTGATTCAGTTTTCTGCCACACAATTTTACGCATGTGTGTTCCTGGCCTTACTGTGTTTTTGAAGATTTTTGTCAAATTTTAGAATGTTAATTCGAAAGGAGAGACATTTATATAATTTATGAAGTTAAATTCAGTTGGAAAAGCTTTGTAAAGACGATTTAATTGAATTATATTTTGATGTATTTTATTAATAAGGTTGAATTTATCTTTCAGATGATGGTATCACTTTTCTTTATTATTATAAATCTTGCCGCACATGTCATTTGCCATCCTCGCGTTGCGGGTAAATATATTACTGTTTATTTACGATATTTATAGAAAATGATGTTAACAACAATAATAATGAATACTAATTTGTATTTAATCACACAAAAATTGAAATTAATTGTAATTATTTTCTCCTAAAAGACGAGAAGGAAGAGGTTTGCAACAAAACGTAAGTTTAACTTTAATTTTATTTCTTTTTTAACTATTTAATATTCATTATACATATAAAACTTTACTTTTTAGTGGTGCACTATGTCAGTCTGATGCAGAATGCTGTCCTCACCAGAAATGCATTTATGGAGACAAGTCTTGCTCTATTACTTTCTGTTATCCTGAATGTGTTAACATGACAACAGAATTTGAAACTGGAATACATTTGCAATGATAAAATGTAGTAAGGTATAACTATTTTATGTCATATACGATAAAAGTAAAAATAAAATAAAGCGTAGTATATACAGTATATAGACAGAAATCGTAATGTATTGATATAGCTACCAGTCTCTTAACATTTATTCTTTAGTAAAATGAATGCATTCTTTTGAAAATATTTTGTAAAAATCATCTAGTGAAGATATATATAAACAAAAAATACATAAAATTATAACGAACACAATATTATCTGTATGGCAGAAGGCACGTTTGTGTTATGGGTGTAATAGTGGCACGTGGTTTTTAATGTACTTAAAATACCTAATAAAATTGTAGGGCCTAAATTAAGTAAGCAATAAAAGGTTTTAAATGAAAATATTAATAAGAAGACTACATAGACATTATAATAGAAAAAATATGGTGAAATTAAAGGGGTAACGTAAAGCAGCATATTATTGGTATCATCTGAAAAGAGGTGACTCCAGGGAGAGTTTTTACGAGTAACTGTGGTTTAACAAGTGGAGATAACTCAAAAATTTTCAGCTCGATGTTTAGGCGATAACACACTATCAACTCTCAGATTTCGGTGGGGTTTAATCTACTGCTCCATAGGTCAGCGCATGTTTTGAAGATTACATACATTAAGCGTTAAATTAAATTACACGATATTTCGGGGGATGACTCACTGAAAGACTCTCTATGGAAAATTGTCCCTATTTACATGTTACAAATGTAAAGAAAACCAGAAAGCGTCAGGTGTCCATTGGCATAGCGCGAATTCACCAATGTTCAGTGGTGTTATCTTTTTGTTCACCGCTGGGTTTGTGCTTTTGAAGAATCATTAATAAATTCTGTGATTTATGTTTAAATTAATAATATTTCTTTGGAAAAAACTAGGGTTTCTCATTTCCCAATCTTTTGCTAGTCCCGGGATTCCGGGATAAAAGTGAACTGTTTCCCGGGATACAATGAATTATTTTTAAAATGAACAATATAAGTTGAAATCAAATGATATAATTACTTTTTACTTTTTAAAGACTTTAATACGTTCTGCAATTTCCAAAATCCTATTAATAATGCCGTGTACGATAGATATTAAAAATTACCTTTCAATTACGTAGAAATTTTCACAAATACATAAAGTGCTTTAAAGTTTACTGGACACAACAAAATGCNTCTATCGTTAAATTGTAGTTCCGGAATCAACGAATTATTAAATCCATGTAAATCACGCTCTCGAAATAGCTTTCTAACCCACCAGCGTCTCTTTTGGCATTTTTTAATAAAATCATTTCTTAAAATCATCAACGATTGAGTAGAATACAACCACCAACAAATAACAACGTCAGATACCGACGGCGCCATTTTACTAAACTATATATGACGTTGTTACATTTCCGTTTCCCATTCGGCCAGAATTTTTACGTATGTGTGTTCTGGCATGAAAGCGTAAAACAGAAACTGAACTGAAAGCTGATTTCTGATTCAGTTTTCTGCCACACAATTTTACGCATGTGTGTTCCTGGCCTTACTGTGTTTTTGAAGATTTTTGTCAAATTTTAGAATGTTAATTCGAAAGGAGAGACATTTATATAATTTATGAAGTTAAATTCAGTTGGAAAAGCTTTGTAAAGACGATTTAATTGAATTATATTTTGATGTATTTTATTAATAAGGTTGAATTTATCTTTCAGATGATGGTATCACTTTTCTTTATTATTATAAATCTTGCCGCACATGTCATTTGCCATCCTCGCGTTGCGGGTAAATATATTACTGTTTATTTACGATATTTATAGAAAATGATGTTAACAACAATAATAATGAATACTAATTTGTATTTAATCACACAAAAATT